ACACACACACACACACACACACACACTTCACATAAAAGACTGCAATCCATCAATGTGCTCATTGCTGTCATGTGTAAAGAGACGGGGCTCTAAGCAAGAGTCCTCTAACACAAATTTGATTTACCTCAATTTGCCTCAAACAGTGACATGTGAGCACTAGAAGTGCTAACACAGACTGGCACCTTTTTCTGCCAGTAGGCATGTGTCTTAGCTTACTTTCAAGGCCCGGATTTGTGTTGAAATCTGATTTACTTAATGATCGTATTAGATTATATCGAGTTTGAAGTTATGAAAATTAATTGTGCAATACAGTGATGCTGTGGAGAAATTATGTCTGCATGTGGGAATACAGCGTGTGTGTGTGTGTATATGCGTTCGTGATGGTTAGAAATATTTGATAGCATCTGCAATGTTTTCCATCTTTTCTAAATTATTCAGCCACTGTGTACATTCTATTGCATACAGATAAAGAATCGCCAAATCCAGTCAATCAACTTTAATGAGTTTCAAAAGTGAACTCCGAACAGGTACATTTTCGAAGATATTAGCGCGGCTCTGTACCAACATTATCTTGACAGTTCAAAAATTGACAGGGATAAGCTGGTATGTGTCTCCCATGCAGGAGTCGGGTAGGAAACGTGTAATCAAGAGACCGTGCCTCGATAGAAAGACAGACATGAATCCAACCAAGGGTTGTTTCAGACATAAAAACCATCTGACACTTTAATTATACAATTAAGCGCCTCTTTTCACCCCCACGTCTGATAATAACTCAAGCATTGTTGTCATGCATCTGTGCCATACTCGAAATGTCAATGTAATGAATTCATCTGTCTATACATATTGCGTGAACCTGTTCATTTTGGATCTGAATGAAGCAGATTACCTTCTGCAACCGGCCGCTGTATATTCCAATCGGCCATTTTTGACATGCATACCGTCTGTAGTGGTTTAACTGTAATTATATACAGTCTGTACCGCAGTGTTTTGGACATGTAACTTGTCTGTGTCATGTCATGGCTCCAGCCTAACTTTTTACATTGGTTATACTGATGGGTCTAACTTTTTCAGTTAGGTGTACTAGTACATCATTTCGGTGCACTTAAATATTCCACCTCCCCATTAGGCGCTGCAATTACACATTTAAAGTGGCACCTTTTTGGGGTAATTTTATCGTATCTGAGCTGCAGAAATTGGACAAGCTTGTTGTTGTATGTTGTGAGCTCAGGCAAAGAGCCAAATGAGGCCATCGCTACCAAAGTTGTTGGATCAGAATAAGGCCTCTTACTGGGGATAGGGGGGACAGGTGGTGTAGCAGTTACCAAGTGCAGTCCCCAACCTCCCTGGGGCCCTTAGCAAAAATTAGGGCCCTTTCACACTATCACACCTTTCTAGAAAGGTTTGTTCCATCTGTCTGTCTGAGAATAAATCAACCTACCAAGAACAGAATGAGGTATAAACAAACAACATTTACTGAATACTCAACA